AGGCAGACGGTGCTTCACATCAGCCGGTTCAGACGGGAGATAAAACCCTGTGAACCTCGACGGCTTTTGAGCTGAAACAGTTTTAAAATTACTTTATTGATGCTTCTTTAATGAAAAATCTACAACAAACAAAAGAAAAAGACAAAGCAGCCAAACTAGCAATCCTCAACTTTTTTAAGAAGCAGCCGAACTAGCAATCCTCAACAACTTTTTAATTTTTACACCAGGAGCCAAATCTGTTTCAGGAAATCAGATCCTCAGCAATCGGTGCTTGTAGGATTAAGCTGTGCAAGTGTTCATACACCGCTAGTTGGCAGTGTTGTGCATATTGTAAATGAATTGTCAACTAAGTGTCAAATTTAAGTTGTGATTAAAAATTAGCTTCTGCTAAWTTTTATATGACACAAGTRTTTTTGAAGCTGCAAACCTAAATATTTTCATAAGCGCATTAGAAATTGCGGAGCTAATTTTTGGATTAGGGCTGCCCACCACTGCTTATAATTTTGTTACTTTCAGTTACTGTCCAGCAACTTTTAGCTACTACTTATAGCTACCAATTTGCTCCTTTTAGCCATTTTGCTAATTTGTGCTTCTGTTCTGCTGCTTTTTCTGTTAACAACTCAATWTTTCATTCAGCCCTCAGTAGTGACAGCACTTTTCAACAGAACTATTTCTACAACTTTTGCGTTCCTTCCTTCACCTGAGCGTCGTATTGATCTGCAGAGCTTTGCTGAGCATCTTGGCTCCAATATCGTCCATATTGTTTCCACTCAGGTCCACTTTCCTCAGGCAGGTGTTGCTGCCCAGAGCGTTGACCAGCACCGTGCCCCGGGAGCGCAGGCGTGACTCACACAGAGACAGAGACTGCAGGCCCTGCAGGGCATAAACATATCATAAACATGAAGCTGCAGGAAAAACAAGCCAAGTCCAGATGATCTCTTTATCAAAGTCACAAATCTGCAGTAAAACAATGAAAAACTGATGCGTTAAATAACTCATCTTTTAATAATGATTCATCAAATGTAACATTATACAGTCAGCACCTAATGAGGAGTTCATTCAGTCAAATAGYTCAATCTAGACTAAATAATTTATGAAGGGAGGTGGAAAGTTGTGAATTACATKTAATTTACTGTAACTGAGTTTACATTTTTGTACTTTGTATTTGTTTAAGTACATCAGCATTAATATCAGTATATGCTGATGTTGAGAGCATATGAAATAATCAGTTTGATAACTGTAACTTCTCCAACATAAAAACTATGAAAACAAAAATAACCACCTGACTTTKCTGCTACTCAGTTAATGATTGTTTTTATTTCTCACAAATGTTGGCTCCCTTCGAAATATCTTCAGAAAAGTTTGGTTTTTAAAATGTTGTCTTTTTCTCTGTTATCACTCACACATTCCTCCTCCTGTATGAGCTGAACCAGTTTCTGTAAGACTTCATCAAGAACCCTGTAGACACAATACAAACAGAAATGTCTCGTCAGCCATTTCCTGCTGCTAGTGCCCCCCCCCCCCACACACACACACACGCACACACACACACACATCCTTGTATTTGCATCAAACGTAGTATTTTGTATTGACTTCCATTCATTTTTAACTGTATTTATACCAAACCCTGACATTTTCCCTAAAACTAACAATTGATAGTCTATTCCTAACCCTAACCGGGCCATTGGCCCCCACCATGCACATTCAATTCGCACGAGGCTGCCTTTTTTTGGAAAATGGTTCCCCCTAAGTAGTAGAAAACA